TCATTCATGCAATGTCCTTCTTGTCTACAATACAGTCTGGGTATTGGTTCATCTTCCTGCTGGTGCTATCATTTTTGTTGGGCCTGGTCATTGGCCCACAGACCCACCCCCAGGACCTGCCTCTGCCCCAGGAGCAATCCCAAACTGGGTTTGCTCCCCCCACGTTGCTTGTTTCTGGAAGGATGTGGAGGTTTGGGCCTGGCCGGCATGCTCGGTGTCCAGGATTTGGCTGGAATGTTGGGATTGTGGGATCTGTTGGGTTGGGGAAGGCTTTTCAGCTCGCTGAAGCCAACAGGTCACCCAGCACAGGCAGGTCCCCACTGCCCCCTGTCCCTCACCCCACATCTCCACGGCTTGGGAACCCCTCCAGGGGTGGGGACTCCACCACTGCCCTGGGCAGCCTGGCACAGCCCTGGGCAACCCTCCAGGGCAAGAAATTGTTCCTCAGGGCCAATTGGAACCTCCCCTGGGGCAACTTGAGGCTGGTTCCTCTTCTGGTTCCTCTTCTGTCCCTTGTTCCCTGGGAGAAGAGCCCAACCCCCACCTGGCTGCAGCCTCCTGTCAGGGAAGTGTCAGAGCCAGAAGGTCTCCCCTGAGCCTCCTTTGCTCCAGGCTCAGCACCCCCAGCTCCCTCAGCTGCTCCTCCCCACACTTGGGCTCTAGACCCTTCCCCAGCTCCGTTGCCCTTTTTTGGCCACGCTCCAGCCCCTCACAGTCCTTCGTGGAGGGAGGGATCCCAAAACTGACCCCAGGATTTGAAGTTCAGCCTCCCCAGTGCCCAGCCCAGGGGGACAATCCTGCCCTGCTCCTGCTGGCCACACTAGTGCTGACCCAAGCCAGGGTGTTGGTGGCCTTCTTGTCCACTTGGACACCTTGGATATTCCTAGAGTCATTTGAAATGGGCAGAAAGCTCCAGGTGTGGGGTTGGAGAATTTTGCCCTTTGAAAGGGAGGGCTCAGTATGAGCAATCTTGAATTTCATGGTGGAAAAACGTGTGGAAACTACTTTAGGGTGCTGAAACCCGGGTGAGTCCTGGAGCTGTGGGGACTCAAAGGCCATACCCACTCTGAGCCTGTGTGCAGCCATTTCCTTATAAAAATTCAAAGCATTCTGTTAGCTGACTTCTGAAAGTTGAAAGCTCTGAGAAACCTCATTCCAAGCCCTATTTCCGAGGTGAAGTTCTTCCTCTTGCAATCAAGTTGTGCCTTATTATCTCAGCTCTGTTTAGTCCAAGCTTGAAGGAGAAGCTCTTAATGAGGCGCAAGGCTCCACTGGAGTCCAACCCAGGGTTTGGCCTTGGCGTGGTTTGAAAGGAGGACGTGGGGGGCTGTGGAGCCATGGGGGTGTCTCTGGAGCAGAGCCTGATGACTCCCCAGGGCAGCTCTGAGCTCTTCTCTTCTCTCCCAGGCCCACACCACCCGCTCCAGCCAGAGGTGCTTGGCCTTCGTCGACGACGTCCGATGCTCCAACCAGTCCCTGCCAATGACCAGGCACTGCCTGACACGTATCCTTTCATCTGCTGGCAGTTGGAAGTGTGGCTGATCTTCCTTTTTCTTTTTTTCCCCTCCTCTCTGGCCCTAAATCAAGGCCACCGGTTTGTTGTAGCCGTTGGTTTCAAGCAGGAGCCCAGAGGAAACATCTCCCGGTCTGTTGGCGCTCCTGTCCCCGTGGAATGACCAATTCGTGTGGGAGACACAAAAATTTGGGCTTGCCTTGGCCTCTTCCTGATGTCCCTTGGCCGACATGAGCATCCCAGCGGGGTGGTCGGTTCACTGGGAAGCAACAAGGGAACCTCCCAAAGCCCGAGGGAGGCACGAGCCAGTTCCTGGTGGCCTTGAAGGAGGGTGGAAGCTACGGGTGCTGGGTGCCAACCACTGACCTGAGCAGGGTCTGAGCTCTTGGGAGGAGCTGTGCTGTGAAGAACGTAGGAAAAAGTATCTGAGTGCTGAAGCTCAGTGATTTGGGGGATTATTTGAATGAGGGATTAATTCCTTGTCTGCTTTGGGGCTGCTGTGGAGCAGCTCAGTGTCCTTTAACCCCTTGAGCAGGTTCGTGTGCGTGTGAACACCCTCAAGCTGCAGATTTCCCAAAACAACTTTTTGAGAGCTGGCACTGAAATTGCCACAGGGATTCCCCCCCCCCAGCTCAGGGCTCATGATGCCAGCGTGGGATCCAGGACCCCAGAGTGGCCCTGGGTGTGTCTGTGCCACCCTCATCCGAGCAGGAGCTGGGGGAGGTGCCCGGGAGCAGGTTGGGATGGTGTGGGAGCTGCTGCTGCTGCTCTGAGTCAGGAGAAGCTCCAGCCCTGGGTCCCGGGGCAGAGCTTAGGGGGGAGGATGAGCTTGGGGTGGGGGGGGTGGGGAGGATGAGCTGGTTGTTTTGTTGGAGCTCTTGGTTCCTGGGGTTGGCAGACAGCTCCAGCTCAGCGTGGGGAGCAGCCCCGGCGAGCAGGAAGCTGCTTTTGTTTCCCTCCAGTGACTATCAAAATAAAGGCAGGATAAATCCCTCCAGAAGGGTCCGGGCCAGTCGCCGTTGGCAGGCTGGGGAGGGAGTGGAAAAAAGCAGAGGTTGAGTTCCTTACGTCTGAGCTGTCAGCTGACTTTCACTGACACAAACAAGATTTTACTGGGGTCAGCCCCGCTGAGCCGATAACATCTGCAGCCCGCTGGGCTCTGTGCCTCAGCAGGAGGCTCAGGGGCTTTGTTTGCTTTTCAGGAGCTGGATTGTTGGTGACAATGCGTTCAAGGCACCCGAGCTGTTGGGCTTCCAGGTGGAGAGGGTGCTTTTGTCATCTTGGCAAACCACAGGGGTTTGGTTTTTTTTTGGCTCCTGATAAAGTCGGGGCGTTCAGGGAGATGATAAAAATCTGGCTTCCCCACACTGCTCTTCATCCAGATGAGGGTGTGGGAGATCTGGCTCCTCAGGGCTGGGCTCCAGACTGTTGCCACCGGCTCCCTGCAGCCTGATCCATGTGTTCACAGAATCACAGGACTTTTAGGGGTTGGAAGGGACCTCAAAAGATCATCTAATCCAAGCCCCCTGCTACAGGAGGACTCCCTACACCAGGTCACCCCTCAGCAGAGCCAGGACAGAACAAGTCAGAAACCTTAGACAGCTGAAGAAACTGGGTTAAACTTGTTGCTTTTTGCCACTTGAGGTGGGTTTGGAGGCTCAGGGTCAGTTTTTCCTCTCCTCTGTGGGTCTGTGTAAAGAGGGAGCTGCCACCTGAACCCCACAGACACGGAGAACGGTTATTTGGGTGCCTTCAGGATTGGTCTGACCTGAAAGACTTGAGCTGCACCTCAAACCTGCTTTGCCCCCAGCACCTCTGTGGAGTTTGTGCCTGTTTTGGTGACACCACCTCCACCAGCTCTTGGAGCAGGGAGGAGAAACTTCCCAACAGGGGGTGGAAGGTTGTTTCTGTAGCCACAGCAGTGGGTCCGTCTGGAGCTCCACAGGGATCTGGGCAGCGGGTGGGACTCAGGCTGGAGCTGCTCTCTGCTGGCAGATTGCTCCACGAGCTCGAGCAGAGTTTCTGGTTGTGATTAAAGGCAGGAAATCCCATTTACACCTCTGGCAGGAACAGGTTTTCCACTGGGAAGGCAAACGCGCCGGGAAGATAGAAACGCCGGAACTAAATCCTGGCTGTGGGAGAAGCTTTTTGTGTGGGGGTGGGTGTGGGGGTGTGTGTGCTGGTGGCCACGCCACGGGTTGGACACTCAGGCTTCTGCAGATGCCTTTTAAATGGAGGTCTGCAAATCAAATCAATCCCCTGCGTGTGGAATCCAGATCTGAGGCTCCACGAGGGCTTTCCCAGGATCCCAGCCCCCCGCCGTGGGAGGCTGTGGCTGGTGCCCCCATTTTCCCTGACCCACATATCTGGGTGAGTCTGGAGTCTGGACTCTTGACCTTGGAGAATTAAACGGGGAGGGGGGGGTGGTGCAGGGTGAACCCCGTTGGGTGGAGGATGGCTGGGGGCGTGGGGAGCGTTTCTCGCCTCTGGATGCCTCTTGTAGCTCTTGTGCAGGTTTCCCTTGACCCCATCTTCCCAGACATCTGCCAGGACACTAATCAGACCCTGTTCAAACTGTGCCAAGGCTCTGAGGAGGTGCCCTGCAACAAGCCAGTTCCTGTGAGCCTCTCAGAGGAGCCCTGCTGCCCGCTCCACCTCCGCCTGCCCCCCCAGATGTACGTGCCCGAGCAGGGGCTGGCGGGGCCCGAGGAGGCGGAAGAGGCGCCCGCCCGAC